GACTGGTCGATCCTCCATTAACAGATCAAACAATAGTTGGATGTGTTTAAGTGTTTCATTATACCTCCAGAATTGCATGTTGTAATTGTGACACCACTTAACCATTTTGCCATTGTACTAGCTGTCATGAATTTGTTTGCGCGTATCTGTTGTCCGACTTAATTAGTTGATTATTAGCGAATTGTGGTGTTATGTCTGTCATCGTTTCGGCCTATTTGAGATCCTGGACGGAACTTGGCTCAGTGATTTGGAACTAATTACGAGATAACCGTCGCTATTCGGACTGCTTTCCTGACAGTTTGGTATTTGTAGTTATTAATGTAGTAAATGATTAATCAAAAGATATGACGTATTCAGTACTTAGTGTGATTGGCTGTATGATTGAAGGTTACGCCCTAGAGTCTTTTTACTGCTTTGTAATTGGTTAGAGTTTTGAAAATGAATAAAGTTGTTTGAGTTGGTCTTGAAGAGTGCACTAGGAGAGATGGCAGTCCTGGAGAGCCTTGGGCGAGCCTTGACGCAGTCTAGTCTTTGGCCAGCCTTGCGATAGTCTTGGGGACTTTTCCCCAGGGCGCTGTGTCTTATAGAGTGCTCGACTGACCGACTAAGACGAGAGTTGAACCGTATTTCGTTGTGTGTGTCTTATTTGACTGTAAGGCTTAAGTGACTTTCCCGATCCTGTACCTCGAGGGGACGAGATATAGAGACGAGACGAGTTTCCCCCCTGGCAAGTGTGGAGAACCCCAGAGAGAGAGGATTTACCCCTGACATAGCTGTTAATGTTTGAACTTGCCGACTTCATGTTTTAAAATAAACTTAAATGCTGACAAATAAATTTCTCTAGTGTTTTTTTTTCAGCGCCGTTTACGTTTTCGTTTTAAAATAAACTTAAATGCTGACTAATAAATATCTCTACGTCTATGTTATATATCTTATCGAAATTCCATTAGCATTTATAATATGTAATGTGTATTTCAGGTTTTGACTATTTAGATTTTTGTTGTAATATCAGTTACGTTTATGTTATATATTTTTCGTTGTTCTAAATAAA